GCTAGTCTGGTACCACATGCATGCCTATTCCCCATTGTTGTCTTACCTCATCATTTTCGTATCCATTGTTGAGCTTTGCCTACATCATTTATTGCTCGAGTTACAGAATGATGAATTTTCTAATCATTATTTCTTACACATTTAATAGCTGGAATTTTGTAAAGAGGAACCTTCATCTCTCTTCCTTCTTCCCGTCTCCTTCCCACTGTCTCCATCACTATAAATTCAGTAATTTCTGCTTATTGGATAACATTTTTAGTTACGTTATGCTAAGTGAAGTAACTCAGACACAAAGAATATTAAAAATGGCATGATTTTACTTGTGTGTCAAACTAAAAATAGTTGAATATGTAGAAACAGAATAGAATGGTGGTTACCAGGGATGAGGAGGGGGAGGAAATAGGGCAGTGTTGGTCAGACAGTACATACTTGCAGTTACATAGGATGAATAAATGTAGCTATCTGATGTATAGTAGCAGACCTGTAGTTAATAACATAGGATATTTGCTAAGAGAGTAGATTGTAGGTGCTCTTAACACACACATAGGGTAACTGGAAAGTGATGGATGCTTGTAGTAATCACTGTGTATATTAAAGCATTATCTTGTGTGTGAAATATATGCAATAAAAATAAATACTATTTACTAAATGTTTTATAGTTGATTTTGCTTTTTTTTTTTTTAAGTTGAAGTTGTTTTAGATTTGGCCAATGTGAACCATTTCAAGCTGTCTCTTGTATCCTTTTGAAATAACCTGTCATCTTTGAGCACTTCCCTTGCCTTCTGTACGATAAGATGGCTCAGGCTCATCTTGTAGATTCCCTGTTAAGTCATGGAATCACGTGTTTTTCTAGAAACTTGGTTCTGTTTGTGGATATTAGTACTCAGAAACCGAGATCTGAGTGCTGAATGTGTTCATCACATCAAGGGCCTTTGTTTGGACAGAGTTACGAGATACGTTGAAAAATGAACCATGAGTTTATGTTATTGATAGTTTTTTTTTTTTTTTCAAATTTATTTATTATTTTTTTTTTTTTTTGAGACAGAGTCTTGCTCTGTCACCCAGGCTGGAGTGCGGTGGCATGATCTGGGTTCACTGCAACCTCCGCCTCCCGGGTTCAAGTGCTTCTCCTGCCTCAGCCTCCCGAGTAGCTGGGATTACAGGCATGCACCACCATGCCCGGCTAATTTTATTCGTATTTTTAGTAGAGATGGGGTTATTCCATGTTGGTCAGGTTGGTCTCGAACTCCCGACCTCAGGTGATCCACCCGCCTCAGCCTCCCAAAGTGCTGGGGATTATAGGCGTGAGCCACTGCGCCTGGCCTTCAAATTTAACATCACAGAATTGTATACTTATTTGCTTTATCCTACAGCATACATATATATAAAAATAATTCCAGCGACATGAGCAATAAATATACTGAGTGAATTTTAATTTCTTTGCAATTTGTTTTGTCCTTAGATTATAGTTTACTTAGGATGAACAGTTACGGTAGTGTGTTAAAATTTGTTGAAATGATTTTATTTTGTCTGCTTATGGTTAATTCTATATTCAGTTGAGGTCGTTTGTACCTATTTGTGTTCTGTTTTTTTAACTTAGTTTTGAACTTAATGTTGGAGTAATTTCTTTGCTACGAACATAGCTTAGAAGGCAGCAGTGTACATGTACTTGACCTGATTACGAAGGAATCTATCTGGCCTAAAGTAAATCAGGTCATGGCAACTGAGTCAGCAGCAGACCTATTTACTGTTAATGGATGCAACGTGATAGTGTCAGAAAATTAAGAAAATTATTGCTAATTTATAAAACAAAAAGAGCTATGGGACTGAGCTTATTTGAAAAATGTAATATGAGTAAAATTGTGTATGTGTTTTTTTTGTTTGTTTGTTTTTGTTTTTTGAGATGGAGTCTCACTGTGTCGCCCAGGCTGGAGTGTGGTGGCACGATCTCGCTCACTGCAACCTCTGCCTCCTAGGTACAAGCAATTCTCCTGCCTCTGCCTCCCAAGTAGCTGGGATTACAGACATGCACCACCATGCCTGGCTAATTTTTGTCTTTTTAGTAGAGATGGGGTTTCACCTGTTTGCCAGGCTGATCTTGAACTGCTGACCTCAAGCAATCGGCCCACCTTGGCCTCCCAAAGTGGGCCTCCCACCGCGCCCAACCAAAGCTGTGTCTTAACAAGCTGTGTCTTAACATAGTAGCGCCACCCCTTTTTTTTTTTCAAGGCAAAGCCTTTATTCATTTTAATGTTGCACAAGTGTAAGGAACATATAATCTGGATTTATTAACTTTAGGTAACAGTAATTTAAAAGATAGAGAAAGGTCTCATATTACAGAAATTTAAAAATTGACTACGATAAATGGTGAAGAAAACTAACAATAGAACAGGACAACGTTCAAATAGGTCATACAATTAACAAATGGGGCCAAGAGATCAACGTATATCCCATGACATCTTTCATGCAATGTTTCAGCTTTTTTTTCCCCCAAACATAGAGGCCAATTAATTCAAATTAGCCCTATTAAGAATATTAGTTTGTTTCCTTCTGAAATTAATATTTGAGTGGAAAATGTATTAACTCATGGTTTCCTACTGAAGTTTAAGATTCCACCAGATGTTGCTCAGATTTAGACAGTGCTAGAATAAGATACTACTGGGTGATTATTTCGAAGTATGAACTACAGGTAAAATCTGAAAGGACATCATAAACATTATTTTCTAATTTAAAAGACATAATAAATATAAATGAATTAACTCACATAACCTTCTTACAAACAAAACTAGAAGAAACACAGCTTTTAGGAGCCAACTGCAGTTGATTTCATGACTTAACAGGAGCAAGATCTTAGATGTAGCCCTGACGTTTTATTCCCAGAAGAGCCTTACTTAAGTAAATGCCACAGATTTCTTTATGTATGAGAAATTAGGATTTATGGAAAGCTCAGTTCTCCAGGGAAGTTTTACATAAGTTACCTCACGTGTACCGGGAGAAAAAAAAGGACGGGACGAGATAGGTGGGTATAGGAAATGTTCTCAGCAGTCATTCCAGTCTCTCTTTTCTTTTTGTTGTTGTTGTTTTTTGAGACATGGTCTTGCTTTGTTGCCTAGGCTGGAGTGCAGTGGCATGATCATGGCTCATTGCAACCTCAGCCTTTGGAGGGTAGCTAGTGCCTGTAGCTGTGACTACAGGCATATGACACCACATTTGCTAATTTCTGTATTTTTTGTACAGATGGGGTCTCATGTTGCCCAGGCTGGTCTTGAACTCCTGGGCTCAAGTGATTGCTCTCTTTGGCCTCCTAAAGTGCTGGAATTACAGGCATAAGCCAATGTGCCTGGCCCATTCTCTGTTATAATAGAAGCACCCTTGTGTAGTTGGTAGGCCAGTGGGAATATCTGGATTTTCTGGCTCTCTAATCTGATTAGATTTAAGAATACCAGTGGCCCCATTTCCAGGTGGTAAAGAGGTAGTCTATGACTTGTAGTGGCAAGAGTTTTCCTCCTGCTCTATCACACTTTTTCAGCCTAAGCACTATTGATATTTTGTACTGAATAATTCCTGGTTTGGAGGCTGGCCCTGTACATTGGAGGATATTCAGCAACATCCCTGGCCTCTATCCACTCGTCAGTAGCATCCCCCTCTTGCCTAGTTGTTAAACCCAAAATGTCTTTAGACATTGCCAGATGTTTCCTGGGGAGTGAAATGCATCCTCCCATTGATGTATATGTATGTGTTTGTGACTTGATAGTAATTTCAGATGTGATGCCCCTTACTCCTAAATACCTAGTTTGTACTTTCTAAAAACAAAAGCACTTTACTGTACTGCCACAGAATACCCATCAAAACCAGAGTTAACATTGATGTAATCCATTGTCTAATCCACAGATCCCATTCAAATTTCAGCAATTGTCCCAGTAATGTTCTTTACAGCAGAACAACTAAACCACATCCCCATGTCTCCTCAACAAAGAACCCATGATCTAATCCAGAATCACATGTTTTTTTTTTTTTTTTTGAGACGGAGTCTTGCTCTGTCACCCGGGCTGGAGTGCAGTGGCCGGATCTCAGCTCACTGCAAGCTCCGCCTCCCGAGTTCACGCCATTCTCCTGCCTCAGCCTCCCGAGTAGCTGGGACTACAGGCGCCCGCCACCTCGCCCGGCTAGCTTTTTGTATTTTTTAGTAGAGACGGGGTTTCACCGTGTTCGCCAGGATGGTCTCGATCTCCTGACCTTGTGATCCGCCCGTCTCAGCCTCCCAAAGTGCTGGGATTACAGGCTTGAGCCACCGCGCCCGGCTTAGAATCACATGTTAAATGTAGTTGTCACAAGTCTCTACTCTCCTTCAGTCGGCCATGGGATCTGTGTTTCCTGGTCTTTTCATGGTTTTTACATCTTTGGGGGAGTTAAGGCCAGTTATTTTGTCGAATGTCCCTCAGTTTGTGTTTGATGCCTTCTCATGATTAGACTCAGGTTAGATAGTTTTGATGGCAATACAGAGGAGATGCCATTTTCTTGCTGCATCACATCAGGTAGTACTTAATGTCAGTTTGTACCATTACTATTGATGTTAACTGATCACTTGGTTAAGATGGTATTTATCAGGTTCGTCACCTTTCCTCATTAGACTTTCACCCACTAGTTTTAGCATTGATTCTTGCCTGAGTCAGTTTTTACAACATTGGTTGCCAAATGTGATTTCCTAATTATAGTATTTGTTCTACAGTTATTAGTATTTGGCCTTCTAGTGTAAGGTAGATATTTTCTTCCCCTCCATGTAGGTTAGAATGTATGCATGTATTTTTGTATGTATTCATTCAATTATTACAGTATGAACGTGGATTTCTACTTTATTCAGTCATTTTTTACTGTATTTATTTAAATCATACTTCTGTCATTAGTTTGATCTTCTTAGATTTGGTTGGTGAATGTTCCTTCAAGCTGACTTTGATGTGTCCCACTATTTTGCATTTCCGTACTTACTGACATTCTGTTTTCTTTAATTTTAACGCTTCATGAATTTGTGTGTCATCCTTGTGCAGGGGTCTTGCTAATCTTCTTGATATCGTTCCAGTTTTTGTATATGTGCTGCTGAAGCAAGCACCTTACTGACATTCTAAGATGTTCCAGGCTCATCCTATACTTTCCCAGTCCTGGAGTCAGCCATTTCTTCAAGGATTCCTGTTTGCAGTTCATGGAGAATGGTATTTAGAAATAAATATTTGTTCACTAGGTATGATTATTTCTTCTGAAGTGTCATTGCTGCTAGGGTCTCTTTGAGTAGACAGGAAACATGTAAAAATATGCATATACTCTTTCATATACAGACACATGCCTATTTCATGGTCATTCTGTGTATGTTCAGAACCATGAGTTCATACTAATATTTCTGATACCACGTTTTATTCTAGACTTCTCATTTTCCATATTTTAATTCCCTTCACCGAGAGAAATCTGGTTTCCATTATCCTCCATATGTGTTCTTATTTTCACAATCCTCATGTATGTAACCAGTTTCTTGACTATGCCGGCCATCTTCCTCACCTTAGTTCTGCTGACATAGTCTGGCCAAGAGGTCCCCCTTCCCTTTACCTACCCCTCTACCCTGTGTTAGAAAGCATTAACTCTTAAGCATACTTGTCTGTGAGAATTTTCTTTAACGTCTCCCAGGAATATAGAGGAGTTGTTAATATCAAGATTGAGGGCTGACTGTAGGAATACATGCCTCAGAAAGAAGATGAGGAGGGTGAAGAAGAAAACTTGTAGTAAAAACATAGTTGAGACAATGATTCAGAAAAGTTGTCACTTGCTGGTGAGAAAAGGAAAGATAGGATTTGATAGATTGGGTTGAAACATACATGGATTTAAGTACCTATTGTTTCTAGGTAAGGTTTTGATCATTGAGCAGTTCTTGGTGCTTTCGTTCATGAAATGTCATCCAGTTTCTGATTTCTGGCTGTAGCTTCCCTACATGCCATTATTTGTAGCTGTCATATGTGTGCTGATATACTTAGATTATTTCTTCTGCTTGCCCTGCTTGTGGTTTGATTTCTACCTTTTCATTTAGCTGCTGCGTGTCATCCCTGCTTGTAAGCATTCATTGTCTGTATAGTCAGCCTGACTATACAGGTTTTCAGTGCTTGTGGGGTTGGTTGTGTTTTACTTGGGATGTTGGCCATCTTGTTGTGCAGTGAAGACTGTTGCTGGGTCATTGATGAAACTAACCATAACGTCAATCTCAGTTTCAGTTCTCAAATATTTAATACCTTTACGTTCTTTTTTGTTGTTATTGAGACAGGGTTTCACTCCTGTTGCTCAGGCTGGAGTGCAATGGTGTCATCATGTCTCACTGTAGCCTTGACTTCCTGGGCTCAAGTGATCCTCCTGCTTCAGCCTCTTAGGTAGCTGGGACTACAGGTGCATGCCACTGTGTCCAGCTAACTTTTTTATATTTTTTGTAGAGATGGGATTTCACCATTTTTCCCAGGCTAGTCTCGGGCTTCTGAGTCTAGCCATCTGCTGGTCTGGGCCTCCCAAAGTGTTGGGATTACAGACATAAGCCATCATGCCCAGCCTGTACCTTTACTTTCATCATTCCCCTGTGGTTTAAAGCTAGGCCCTTCTGGCACTATCTTTTGTCTAACTCTTTAAGGAACATTCTGGACTTAATTTTTTCTTCCCATCTGTCCTTCAATATGACACTGGATAGTGGGCTTCTGGGCAATTAAAATTTATCAGTATAAATCATGGTTACATATTTAGTTGTTTTAGAATGTTACAATTACATAAACCTGCAGTTTTAAAGTTGGATATAGCTGTATACTTTGATAAACTTCATTTTTTGTTTCATAAAATGAGTTTATACAGGTTGTCAACTTAAGTAGCAAAATCTTACAATTGAAGAGACTTTAAAGGACAAGTACTCCCACATCTCACCCAAGAACAAATGTTCCTTCCACACAGTATCTTCCTTTAGCAGTTAGAACCCACTCTCATGAAATAGCATATTTTTCTGTCAGAACAGTTTTACCCAGTGTTACCTTTGTTCTATGTATAGGAACTCACTGACCATCTTGAGATCCAGTCATCATGTGGTATTGTGAGATCCACTATATTCTCAAGTACTAGAAACCTGTATTAATTGATATGAAGCCTGAAAAAAAGAGTGACTGTAGCAATTGGATTGGTGATGAGGGAAACTGGCAAAAGTGTGGAAGTTAATAGCAGCTGCCATTCATTACAGCTCTGGGGTGGGTGATCCAAAGAGTTGTTGAAGCTGAGCAGGTTCTGGCTGGGCCTGGGTATGGAAGAGAGGGAGTCGGTTTTAGGTGCCTTTTTTTTAATCATTGTTTTTATTTAGTGTTTACTACATGACTTTCACTGTGCTAGGGATACAAAAAGGAATAAGAAGAGTATCTTAAAAAGGCAGAATTGTTTTTTCCTGCTGGAATTTTGAGCAGTCTTAGTATTTCCTTAGTGTGTTTGTTCCAAACCAGAAGCATTATTTCTTCCTTTTATATAGGTAATATTTAACTTAAATAATAAACCAGATAATTAAAATCTTTGATCTATGTAAGTAGGCTGGGTGCAGTGGCTCACGCCTTTAATCCCAGCACTTTGGGAGGCCAAGGTTGGCGGATCATGAGGTCAGGAGATCGAGACCATCCTGGCTAACATGGTGAAACTCCATCTGTACTAAAAAAAAAAGTACAAAAAATTAGCTGGGCATGGTGGTGGGCGCCTGTAGTCCCAGCTACTTGGGAGACTGAGGCAGAAGAATGGCGTGAACCCGGGAGGTGGAGCTGGCAGTGAGCCGAGATTGCGCCACTGCACTCTAGCCTGGGTGGCAGAGCGAGACTCCGTCTCAAAAAAAAAAAAAAAAAAAAAAAAAAGGCAAAAGTTAAAAAGGCTTAGGAAAATGTAAATTATTTTCTCTCTGTGATCCAATTCTTGTGCTTTTTTTCCTTTAATACTTTATTCTGGAAGGATTTTAATAAGGAATGAAAGTACAGTTAATCTTTTTTTTTTTTTCTTCTTTGGATGCAGTCTTGCTCTGCTGCCTAGGCTGGAGTGCAGTGGTGCAATCTTGGCTTACTGCTTCTTGGGTTCAGGTGATGCAACTGCCTCAGCCTCTTGAGTTGCTGGGACTACAGGCGGATGCCACCACGTCCTAGGGCTAATTTTTGTATTTTTAGTAGAGACGGGGTTTTACCGTGTTGGTCTTGAACTCCTGATCTCAAGTGACCTGCCTCCCTCGGCCTCCCAAAGTAATGGGATTATAGGTGTGAGGTACCACGCCCTGCCTAATCGTATTTTCTTTAGTATAGGTGCCTTTAAAGTTTGAAAGTTCAAAGTATTTTACTATTATTTCCCAGGAAATGAGGCTTGAAATGAGAAAATGTGGCCAGGGGTTATCAAGAGCTGGAAAGCACTGACATCCATTTGATAGTTAAAGATGGGAAGGATTGAGGTAGGGGTTAGGAGGGTGGGTAGGGGGGAGATGGGGGGTGGGGAGAGAGAGAGAGAGCGAGCGCGCGCGCACGCGTATGCCTGTGTGTGTGTTAGGGTGTTTATAGTTTGGAATTTCATTTGTTTTTCCATTTTGTACTACAGTCACGCATTACTTAATGACAGGGATACGTTCTGAGAAATGCGTCATTAGGCGATTTCATTGTGCAAACAGAATGTACTTAGACAAAGCTAGATGGGAGAGCTTACCACACACCTAGGCTTTATGGTGTAGCCTGTTGCTCCTGACATGTTGCTGTACTGACTATTGTAGGCAATTGTAATATAGTGGTAAGTATTTGTGTATCTAAACATAGAAAATGTATAGTGAAAATACATATAAAAATGGCACACCTATATAGGACACTTAACCATGAATGGAGCTTGCAGGATTGCAAGTTTCTTTGGGGAGTCAGTGAGTAAATGTGAAAGCTTAGGACACTAGTGTAGCCTTTTAAACACTGTACATGTATGCTGCACTAAAGTTATAAGATAATAGTTTCTTCAGTGATAAATTAACCTTAGTTTACTGTAATGGCTTGTTTTGTTCTTTTTGCTTTTTGTTTTGAGACAATCTCCTATCACCTAGGTTGGAGTGCAGTGGTGTGAATGCTGTTCATTGCAGCCTTTACCTACTGGGCTCAATTGACCCCCCCACCTCAGCCTCCCTAGTAGCTGGGACTACAGGTGGACACCACCACACCCTGCTGATTTTGTATTTTTTGTAGAGGTGGGGTTTCGTCATGTTGTCCAGGCTGGTCTTGAACTCCTGGGCTCAAGCGATCCTACCCACTTGGCCTTCCAAAGTGCTGGGATTACAGATGTGAGCCACTGTGGCCAGCCAGCTTACTGTAACTTTTTAACATTATAAACGTTTTAATTTGTTTAAAACTTTCTGGCTATTGTTAGTAACACTTAGCTTAAAACAAACACACTGTACTACTGTACAAAAATATTTTCATTCTTTATATCTTTATTCCGTAAACTTTTTTCTATTTTTAAAATTATTTTTAATTTTGCTGTAAAAGTTTTTTTGTTGCCTGGGTGCGGTGGCTCACGCCTCTAATCACAGCACTTGGGGGAGGTTGAGGCAGGTGGGTCACCTAAGGTCAGGAGTTTGAGGCCAGTCTGGCCAACATGGTGAATCCCCATCTCTACTAAAAATACAATTAGCCAAGCATGGTGGCAGGAGCCAGGATCACGCCATTGTACTCCAGCCTGGACAACAGAGCGAGACTGCCTCAAAAAAAAAAAAAAAAAAAAACCCACCAAAAAAACATTTTTTGTTTAAAACTAAGATACACTAGCCTAGGCCTATCCAGAGTGAAGGTCATGATTCTAACAGTCTTCCACCTCCACATCTTGTCCCACTGGAAGTTCTTCAAGGGGCACTAACATACGTGGAGCTGTCATCTCCTATGATGCCAGCCTTCTGGAATAACTCTTGAAGGAGCTGTCTGAAGCGGTTTTACCGTGAACTTTTTTTTGTTTTACAAGTAGATGGATAATACTCTAAAATGGTTAAAAGTATAGTAAATACATAAACCAGTACCTATGTTATTGTTGATAGTCATTCATTGTCAGGTGTTACTGTAT